ATTTAAATGTCGGGCACCTGAATCGTTAACTTAATTTGCAGCTAGTCATCGTGAACAGCAGAGGATCAACTACCTCGCATAAGGGAACAACTCCTGGATATTTCTAGGAAAACTGGTATCATTATATACAAAAGCATATTATTTAAACCAATGATGCTGTCCAAGCTACCTACAGCTAGCACAGATTCGAGCTGATATCAGGTTTGCTATCAGTTTCCCGTTGCTCCCCCTACCCATGTCGACTTGTTGTTCGTATCAATTCGGCAAGGTTACCGAAGGGAACGAGAAAATTAGGACGGAGAAAGATCGCGTGAATGGGGATGAAGCAAAAACAGAGAAGACATGATAGTGACAGAAATGGATATACAAACATAGTAAGAAGTAGTAACAAAATTGAAAAAGAAGGGTCTGGCCGGGGATTGAACCCGGGACCTCTCGCATATTAAGCGTAGGGTGTACCCTAAGCGAGAATCATACCACTAGACCACCAGACCGAAGGAGAATCATTAGAATCATTGTGTGGGAAATTGGCGTGCTAAGTGATATCATGATATCGTCAAAAGAGGATTGTGGAGGTATCATTTTGAATAAAGTTGCATATTGTGGGGATATGAAATTGGTCATGTATAAGTGTGTAACTCGATTGGATAGAATGTGTTCGAGTGGCGATGAGCACTTCATGAATGTGCTGTTGTATTAGGCTATTGAGCTTGACAAAGTTTGAATTCAGAGTTCTTGGAGTTGGTAATTGTCGCAATGGATTGCTAAAGTTGATATAATCAATTCACCAAGTAATTAGTATAAAACAATAAGCCTCTCGGCTAGAATGGAATGAACATGCGATGTAAGAAGCGAAATAAATATCCATAGCCCCCTCTTCTCTTCACAACAACATCTACAGCGCCCTCTCTTTGCCCTTACCCCATCCGTCTCCATTGAGCGGAGGAAATTCATCCTCGCTATTCCCCAAACGAACTGTTGCCTTTCTGCTCTCTTCTTCAGCAAGACTTAGCTGTAACGCCAATTCCAGGTCGTCGTCAGCCGCTGAAGGAGGATTCAGTAGTGCCGTCGAAGATGAGCTAGCCCGGTTAACTATAGGCGTACGGCTCGAGGACGGAGACCTAGAGAAAGAGCTGGATGAAGATTGCCTGCCCTTTTTCTCTTTGAAAATGATAGGGCCGTCAAACTCGCCTGAGCTATGGCCCTTGGGAGACCGACCAAGATCATTAACGCCCTCCAACAAGGACAACCGGATGGCTGTTTGTATCTGGAGCTCGTATTCACTCTCGCTGATATTCTCAACCGCGCCACTGGTGTTCCCAGTTGACGGACCCATGTCGGTGACACTAGGTTCGGGCGTAATAGTATCCATGCTTCCAGTTGTTGAGGTCGTGTCAAGGTCTGCAGCTGACCCAGTGTCGCTGGCACTTGCTCGCCGCTGCTCGTCCAGTAAAAACGACTCCTGAGAGATTATCTCTGCATATTGAAGGGCTTCCTCTTCACTCAAGTTGTTAATTCCTACTCCAAACCGAGACCTAAGGCGGTGTTGTTCCCGTGCCTTGTGCCGCTGTTCGTCGCGAAGCTCTTCAGCCTCGGCAGCAATGTAACCTTTGACGCCCCCACCATGACGTCGCCCAGTGAGACGACCGTGAACGTCAGAATGTCGTAACCTTCGCTTCCGACCGGTAGCTTGATGAGACGAGCTGTAGGCCCAATATCGTACGAACGTGCCAAAAGCCACTATCCCGTGAAGGATGGTCGGGTCGGGATCTAGATAAATAGCACCGACGGCGGAGAAGCTTGTATCTCCTAAAGTTGGATTCAAGGCAAGGAGGTGGCGAGGCATGCGACCAGAAGAACGGGAATTCAACGTGCGAACTGGGTCCATAGTGGAAGCTAAGGGATCCCAAGCCTGAACAAGTCCATCACTTCCACCATGGACCAAGTAGAGAGCTGAGAGAGCTAAGCAAGAAACCTCAGGCGATTCCGTCTCAATGACACGGACTGGGAAGATGCCGTCACCCGTATGTGCGGCTCGAGTGTTCCACAGTATAACTTTCCCAGTACTTGTGCCCAGACCTATCAATCTTGCTCTTCGACCAGGAATGTCGGACGATGCCTGTCTTGATGGTGTTGTGGGACCACTAGCTGATGGGCCAGAAGCATCCTTCAGAGGATCTTCGAACGATGCAACTAGGGCCATAAGTGACATGTCAACGGCACTTGCGGTGATGGTGACATTGCCAATCTCCTTCGAGGAGAACATAGTCTCTATCCAGTCGTCTGACGCATTCGTGGTTGCAGCAACTGGCGAAGGCGACTGTTTACCCGACGATGATAGAACTCGTTTAAGCAGAGAAGAACTTGTGGAGTTAGGCGATGTGGATCGGGTAGAATCACCGCCAAATATCGATTGTCGTGATGCTGATTCTGACGGGAGCTCTGAAACCTGAGGAGGCGTTGCACTTGGTTGGGGTCGACGGATGACAGCCCGAGTGAAACGTCTTAAAGCCCATGTTTTATCATCATCCAATGCACAATCAACAATGAAAAAACTCTCTCCTGCGCCGAGTTCGTCATCGCCGGCAAAGTCAACTTCTAATCTTCGACGCATATCCCAACCGTAACAGACCTTCCGAAAGTGCGACGGCTTGTACCGAAGGAATTTCTCAATCTCTCGCGCCTCGGCAACCATTTGGTCCTTGTTGAGGCTCATGGCATTAGCGGGAGACCTAGGAGAGTAGCTACCTCGTACAGCGTTTTTTCCCGAGTCATCAGGACGTGCTTGTCGCCGAGTGGCTTCCGCAAGATTCCAATAAGTTGAGCGCCCAGTATGCCAGGCGAGCTTGGTACTATCGTCGGCTTTGGTCTTGTTGACAGGCGGACTTGGAGGTTGGGTTAAGTAGTAGACTTCGCCCAAGGCGTTCAGAGCAACCGCCCAGACACGGTTCAAAGCTTTTCGCTTCTGACTGTAGCTGTCGTCAACCTTGAGCGCGATAATGGGCACACCCGGACTCAGCACCCAGCGAGCACTTATCTCACCGGGAGTGTATCGAGGGCCCGAGGGGTCATGACCGAGAGCATAGGTAGTCACCACCCCCAAAGATGATCCAGTCATGATACCAACCATAGACTGAGTAACAGTTGGTATAGAAGACGACTTTGCAACCCATACGGAGCAAATCCCTTGAGAGAGTTCAGGGATTTTTGGAATATCAGGGTGGGCCTCAACTAAGTCAGTTTCTTGACCCAAATACTTCCCTCTATACTCTCCAGTTGGCCTGAAGAAGACACGACCACCTGGGAATCCTTCGCCGCTGACAAGGCCATAGGGTTGGCTCACATCCATAACATTAGGCATAGCTGCAGGGCCTTCTCCCACGCCATAAGGCATGAGCTGTGGCATGACCTCGTCCAACTGGGCAAAAGCGAAAGGGTCGTCTAGGCCCCATTTTTCGACCTTGCCGACCGTGGGATCGCTTGCACTGCCGACACCTAAGTCGGCCGCACCATGAATAACCCGCGGATTTTTCTTGCCATTGGGTTTGAACGTGGCGTGAACATGAGTGACAACAGAGGGTACTTTTGTGTTGTAGGTCAAAACTGCGGTAGCCTTCTTGCCGGATTGGCTGGAACGCAAAGACGTACCAACCCCTCCGGGCTTTCCTCTAGCAAGACTGCGGAGAAGACGCGTCCTTAAAAGGTATTCGCTTCGCCACGAGGCATGCGGAGTCAGGCGGGTAAAGACCCGCACCTCGGATCGGACGGTATCGTCGCCGTCTTCGCCCCAGGCGACACCAGGTGGTCTACTAGTAGTAATTAAGGCATCTTGAGCAGGGAAGAAGCGCTGGAAAGCCATGCGCCACGCATGAGGCGTAGTGATCAACGCGTAGAATCGTTTGGACACCAAGGCCACAGAGGCGTGCGAGTCGGGATGTAGATGCGAGAGGACATGTGTCAGGATCTCTGTACGCTCGAATTAGAGTGGCGACCACGAGACTGCACTAGGGAGCGCATACCATTTGGAAAGTCATCTAGGTTGACACGAGCCGTCTCATTATCGGCGCGCTTGATAACCTTGAAGCCTAGGGCTTGTCTAGGAACAGAGGGCGTCAAGGCGCTCTCGTACTCGGCAATGCGGTGGCCGGCAAGCGGGACCGATCCCGTGGGCGGCTCGTCACGGACACTCAATCGTCGTAGGCGCTCTTCAAGGGATTCCGGGCGGACGCCTTGACCTCGGGGGTCGAGCAAGTCGGCGTCGCTGGCAGAGTGCGGCGACATACTGCGGTCTCGCTGCTGGTTCGGGCTACGGGTCGAGCCGCTCGCATCGTGGTGCTGGGAGCCATGTTGATCGGAGTGGCGAGAAGACTGGGAGGTGGTTCGTGGTTGGGTGTTCTGGAGGGTTTTGAGAAGCTCTAGTTGCATAAAGTAGTGTGGAAGAGATGAGGGGTAATGGTGGCGTGACTGTGCGATGGGTGCGAGCACAGTCAATGATGAGCAGGGCAATCGACGGACGAGGAGTGTGACCTAATGATTTTTGCGTGGGTCGCGTAGAGGTGAGAGGAGCTTTGATGTGAGCTTCATTCGAGTAAGGGGGGGGAAGAAGGGCGAAGAATAACTTGGGGGTGGAAATTGCCCGCGATTTCCTACGACGCAAATTCCCGTAGTTTAGGTAGAGCAAGACCCGCTTTTACATAAGCTAAATAACCAACCTTGGAAACTTGCATGGCTTAGTTAGACGTATTACCATAAATACACTGAAATAAAGAGAGTAATCGTTTTGTTACAAACCGGATTTCGGTCTGCATTATAAAATCGTGCAACTGTAGCAACTTCCCAGGAAGTCGCTGGAAAGTTGCACTACAAACAAAGCAGGTGAAGTCGAATGTAAGCACAACGTAGAATGGGAATATAACAGCAAGGATAAATATAAGCAGATCCCGCCGTACAAAGAGACCTTCCTGTCAGAAATAAACGATTCTTAATGTGAAGATTGTTTTTTGGCACTCTCTGGATTCGAACCAAAGGACTCCACTACTTCACACAACGTGTTACCGATAGCGGCGTGTTACCCCTACACCAAGTGCCTTCAGCCTCTTCTCCAGAATGTCCAAATATTAAAACAAAGCTAAAGGTTGGGGGGATGTGCTTTATACTCATACGGTCAGCAAGTGAAGGCATGAGAACGTTTAGTTTTGCATAAACTATCTACTTAGAGTGCGATTCGGCTGCAGATACACCTCAAAACTTAGAACCTTACTGGTAACGTGGCGGTGGATCGTCTTGTCTTTAAGCCTCATGTGGCTTGATAGCTTGGTAGGTCACTAAAACATTGGGGATGACGACAAAGGTCCCCGTTGCTACGTGTAGCCCCTGTCACAGGTTGCGAAGCAAAAAGCTACCTATTATTACTACCTAGCTAGCCTGGCTCTCCTTCCTTCACAGACACACAAAACACAAACCACTGATCGCTACTACCTACATCCGAGGAGATATACACCTATATCGTTCACGTCGAGAAGTTGAAGAGCCGACATACTTAATCGCATAAACCACAACAGCGCGCGTCAACTCTCGCGAGAGCAGACAAAACACATTCGCAATGGACTTCTCCGACTCCTTGTACGTGCCATAGGTACTCGCTTCACACCGTCACCGAGTTAGTTACACTGACATTTGCGCGCGCGCATCGCAGCCGAATCGTCAACCTCGTCGTAGGTGTGGTTATGATCCTGGGCGGCATATCGCAGTTCTTCAACGCTGATTTGTACGTTTCGCGCAATTTCTCCAACCCACCCATCCATCCATCTCAACAGCTTCGCGCGTCTGGCTTCGCCGCCATCGTCGCGACGACCCGAGGCGTAGTTGGAAAACGAAAGGCGCATTACATACATACATTTACATAGCTAACCTCACGGCGCGACTAACTAGCAATACCATCATCATCGGCGTATACGTGATAATCTTCGGCGCCTTCGTCGGACTCCTCGAGTTCCAGATCCCACCCCAAGTATCGCGCTATGCGTCCTTCATGTTCTCTTTCATCGGTCGTGGAATCTGTACGTGAACCAACCAACCGTCCGCGCCTACGCCTAGTTCAACTCGGGCTTGCTTCTATTCATACATCCATACTCGAGTCAACTCCATATGATATTTGCTAATAAGCTGTATGTAGTTTACATCTTCATCGGGTCGATCCTACTCTCGAACCACTGGACGCGCTACGTTGCCGGCTCTATCATTGGTCTGACAGGTGTCGCATACGTCGCGCTAGAGTTCGTCCCCTCGATCGAGCCGCCCGCCAATATGCGCGAGGCCGACCAGGGCTGGGGTGCCGAGCAGGTCTAAATCATCCCCATTTGACTTGAAAGAAACGATAGGAGCTTATCTCTCCCATTACGATTCTCGTCTGTATTTTGTAAAGCACATACACATCTGTAATTTAGGATTTCCCAATCCAACTCACGGGTGTAGGGAGTTTGCTTTAGGGGTTCGGAGGGCAGGTAAATGAGGAGAGACTTGGAAGGGAGGCAATTTTCAAACAGAGCGTTGAAAACGGGGAACAATGGGAAATCGAGGGTCAATTTAGCTAGTCACCCAGGTCCTGCGAGCGATGGAGATAGGTGGACGATTCTTATAAGTCGGATAGCCGGGAGGCGTGTTCGCTTTTTCATTTTGAGGGGGGGAAGGCGTTCGTAGCCGTATCAAACGCTTTGGGTACTGGGTCAAGAGACCTTGTGAGGCATATAGCCATATCACTAACTATATATACATCGAGCTCCTCATTATGCGACCTTTAGTATGAATTGTGTTTTGTTGTATCTAGTTGCATAGACATCACTATACGTAGAGTTACTTAACGTTTTTATGTATATGCCCGCGGGTATCATTGATAAATATATCGTAGCTCTGTCTTAATAAAACAATTCATTTGCCTGCATCCGATTATCCTATAATTTTGACTTGCCGTTTCTGTTTCCTGCATTTTCCGATGCATTTTCATGAAGAACCCCAATAGGCAGCCAGGCTACACGAAGTCTTCCGTAGTTTACGCCGGTGTATGCATAATTTGACCACGCCAAGACTCCTGCTAACTCGTGAGTGATGGAAAGGAAAAAGGATTACCCCCTCATTATATATACGTTCGTAGACTTTCGTTAGCATGGGAACCTTTGTTCACCCTTCATTTTCCATGGACCCACTCCATAAATAGGGGCGGAAAGGGGCACCTGAATCACACTGAAAGCACGATTGGACTTCAATCTCCAAGCGCCGCCAACTCCCTTTCCTTAGCCGCAAGCATCTCGCGCATACGTTTAGCTTCCTGTTGTAAAGCTGCCCGTCTGTCTGCTTTGGATCTTTCGCTATCCACTGTGGTTTCCCGTGAACGCATACTTGGAATCATACTTGACGTAATTGAAAACGCCCCGGGACTTGGGGGGGACATCAATGCACTTGCAGGAGAACGTAGTCGTAACATATCTGACGCGTCATCCGTTATTGACCCGAAATTTGGGCTGGACCCACTCGTTGGGTTTAGTATTGATTTGATTGAGGACAGTCTCTTGGTGTTTTCCGGGTTGAACTCGCTGGGTGGGATGTCGGAGTCTGTGGCTGAGAATGATCGTTTTCGACCGGATGAGCCGAGAAAAGAAGCAGGCGAAATGGATGACTGACGATCACTCATGATGGATGTCAACGGCGGTAATCGGTTGTCGTCACTTATTGGGTCGCGAGGCTGCAGCGTCTGAGATGTGTGATAAGCCATGGGATCGGTTGACGGCATCGGTGTAGCTCCCTGACTGGAGTGGATAGGCTCGGGAAGAAGTGTTAGATGTTCGGTTCTGCGCCGCAGCCCGAGATTTATGGATCCGTCTTCGTTCATACTGCCCCTTTCCATATCGGATTCCGCATATTGACTTTGTTGCTCCACGGAGTCTATGACCATCGCGTCTTCTGCATCCGCCGAGACGTCCTCTTGACTTGCTGGTATTACTCGTTTCCTCCGTTTAATCACGGACTTTTTCATCGTTACGGGTCGGTGGACGCCATGAAGCTTGTAGTACAACCCTGTAGAGTTTAGCATAGGACATTGCAACTTTGCGAGCTTTTAACTTACCACAGGCGTTGCAGATGGTATGCCCAGCTTCATCGCGGCGCCATAAAGGGGTTATGGTTGTCCCACAGTTCTGGCAGGCTATTACTACCGTAGTATTCTGAGCTTGCCCTTTGTTCTCCTGCGCGTTGATATCGATGGGTGTGGGTCCGTCACTGGCTATGCTATCTGTCGGGTCGGGGAACTGATTTTGGAGCTGAGCACTTTTTGCAATCCTGTTGTTATAGGCAGGACAGCCGCTGCAACCTTCAGCACCACCAGTGCCATTACATCGTCCGCCACCGGGACATGAACCCGAGGGAGTCTGGTCCGCAGCTACGTAAGTAGCACCTGGCAAGTTGGCCATATTTCCTTGTGAACATGATGCTGATGTAGTCTTATCTCCAACCTTGGTCTGCGTAGCTGCAATTATGGAAGGAGGGCGCTTCAAATTGGTCGGGCGAGCAGAGTTCCGTGCCTTGAAATACAGTCCACATGCGTTACATATCGTAGCGCCTTGGGGTGAGCGCCTCCAGAGGGGTGTTCTTGTAGTCCCACAATTGCTGGTTCCTATTAGTTACCGATGATGCTGGTGTCTTAGCTGTACATACCTGCATACTTGGCCGCCCTGGCTGGTGCTGGCCGGAGACGGACTTATGCCCGTGGGAGTCTCTTGTCGAGTTACGTCAAATGGAGAGGGGCTCTTGGAGTAGACCCTATCAGAGCCATTTAGTGATGGGCTTGGGCCTTCTGACGATGCGCCTGTGCTCTGGGCTGCGGGACTCGTCGGCGCTACAGATGAAGTGCTGTTGAGGAAAGAACGCTCGGAAGGACGGTTGCCGTAGTCTTTTGAAATGGTGGGGCGTGAAGGAAGAGCTGTTCTCTTCGATGAGGACTCATTTCTAGTAATACTGGGCCGGGAACGTGGCGCGGCCTCCATCACGGCCGCTGGCATTAGGGTTCAAGCTTCTTGAAGTGTGACGAAACCTGAGAAAGATCATTCGACACACGAAATGGCGATTCTACTTCGACAAACACTACGGATATGACCTATTTTTTTAGCCGTGAGCTTTTGCAGTAGACATAAAGACGTAAATGAGGGAGATGCAGATATAAAGGATTATGCTCGGCTTTAGAGGAGCTCGGAGCCGACTCGTCGTAAAAAAAATGGCAGGTTTTCAATGGGATGAAGCAGTGTGAGTCATCTTCTAGATAAAAGTATATAGAACAATCGCACCAATACTTTAATCTCTTGACATCCAGGGAGGGTGGTATGCGTATAGGGTTGAAAATAATCAAGCCAAACAAAGATCCACCGACCAAGGCGAAAACAGGACAGAGTAGGTGATAGTGATTAGATATGGCTAAAGCAAGATATCAACTGAAGGCTGGGGAGGGATGTAACAGATTGGACTAATGTTGATGTTATGAAGGAGGTTCTTGTGAGGTTGCGGAGCGAGCAACGTTAAGGTCAATAGGTATGAAAGGGAGAGACGCCAGTGGTATAGGTCAGAGGTGTACGAAGGGTATAAGCACCACTCTTCGATTTGCTTACCTTGTCTCGTGATGAATGTACGCATTCAACTGTTCTTTGATATACGTGCAATCGTATCCTCCTGATCCAACGGAATTGATGATGAGAGTGGAAGAGGTTAGTAGAAGATTATCAGTACAACCACCGACGGGTAGTATGTCCGACAGCTGCTATCACGGGTCGGAGGCCGGCGGAGAGAAGAGACAGATAGATAGACGATGATGAGTATGGTGACGAAGATGCTTCGGGGCGGAGAAGGATCGCCTTGGCTTGGGCACGGATCACAATCAGAGATGGACCAGAGACTGATTGTCGCCGAGCAGAGGCAAGGCTACAGTACTAGGGTTAGGTAGGTAGTTGAGTACGAAGTACACATACACGTGTAGATAGGTAGATAGGGTAGAGTGATTAGAGTGATAAGTAGCCTGTCTGGTGCTGGTGCGTGATGAACATACGACAC